TCTTTGCGGCTGCTAGCGCTGCTTCAAATCCAGTAGTATTCTGATTATTGATTGCCGTACCCATGGCATAATTCACTTTCCACCTCAGGTCGCTCTCAAATGCTTCCAATGGGCTGATCAAGTATGGTGCATCACCAGAGTAATCGCCTTGCATTTGAGTCGTCGCGTTTGCGAATGGTCCAATCACGGCGACACTCTTAAATTTATGCGGAGAGTCCAAAGGAAGAAGGTCGTCATTTTTGAGAAGTACCATACCTTCGACTGCAGCCTCATACGCGAGCGCCTCTGCCGCAGGGGTAGATACGTCCGAGAAATCGAGATGGTCATACTTTCCGCCATCGAAGAAGCCGACCGTAAACAATGCGGAATATAGTCTTGCCAAGGACTGGTCCATGACTTCGACTGAGGTCTGGTTTGCTGCGAGAGATTCGTTAAGCTTTAGGTATGAGGAACCACATTCCAAATCAACACCGGCATTAAGAGCAACGGAGGCTGCTGCTTCTTCGGTGTCGGTAAAGTTGTGGTATTGCCAGATATCTGTGACTGCGCCGCAGTCAGACACCACGTAGTGATAGTCTGCATTGAAATTCCAGTGCTTTCTGAGTACCTCATCAAGAAGGTATTCATTCGCACAGGCTGGAATGCCGGAAACCGAATTGTACGAACACATAATGCTTCCTACATCCGTGTCACGCACACAAGTCTTGAACGGAGCCAGGAAATAATCACTCAGATCTTGCTGGGTAGGGTTGTAGTTATTACCATATCTGCCCGTCTCCAAGTCGTAGACCGCGTAATGCTTGCATGTTGCAATGACCTGCTTGTTCTTCGGGTCATCACCCTGAAGTCCCGGAACAAAATTGCGAATATAATTCTGTGCGACAAAAGTATCCTCGCCGGGCGTCTCTTGCCCTCTTCCCCATCGAGGATCCCTGAAACCATTGATATTAGGGGCCCAGAAATCGAATCCCGAAAATCCATTGTTGCCAAATGCTCGCCCTTCTTTGCCAATTACTTCAGCGATTCTCCGAATCAAAGCGTCATCGAAGGAAGCCGCTGTCAGGATCGGTGCAGGGAAGCTTGTGGCATAGCTGAAATTGGCTGGTTTGGAAGTGAATTGCACACCCGGTGCAGAGCCAACACCATGCGTTGCCTCACTCCACCACTCGTAGGAAGGCAAGCCGAGGCGGGCAGATCCGGCTGAAGCATCTACAAGATTGAGGATCTTTTCCTCCAGGGTCAGGGATTTGACAAGCGAATCGACTCTCTCTGCAATGCTCAACGAAGTATCACAGATAGGGTGACTGCAGAGGGGCTGTGTTTGGCACGCTGGCACAAATTTAGTGTTCACTCCGCCCCCTTGTGGATTCGAGATCTTATACAAAGACATACTAAATACAGTTACGATGTTAGCACCTTTTTCTCTTTTAAGTTTTGCATTCGACTTACACATAGCCTCCTCCACATGAGCTGGATGTTTCAGTTGCGCATTTCGAGTTGCAGCTGCTGTCATCTGTCTTGGTCGCGAGGCTGAAATCGGGCTCACTCCCACAGAAACATTGCCTATTTAGGGTTCAGCTTGCGAATCAACGGTTCTATCGATTAAAAGACTGTTCGCTTACGTTCCAAACTCGATGCCACCATAAGCAAAACCTCGTTGACCGCACCAGTTGGCACAGTACTGAGGCGTCATACCAATGGTGCTAAGTTTCGCTGCCGTCAAAATGCTCACTTTGGGATCTAAGTAACACCCAACGTAGCTTTTTGAGGCATCGTAGGCTGCTTTCGATGCTGAATTGTCACCATTGCAGACAGATGCTGCGTGGACGCCGGTGTGTACTGCTATGAGAGATAGCAGTACTGTTGCACCAGCGCGAAAGGACTGAGATGGTGCCATGATGATTCCCTTCCGATTTCTGCGCCCAAAGAAACAGGAGACTCGTAGTCTTTACCCAGGAAAAATCTATAGGATAATAACTCACTCTCCAGGGCTATGACGAACAAGTCTAAGTGATTTCTGGATACTTAAATATGTGCTGCTGCATATCGAAATTCCTGCTTAAAGAATTTCGTCATCGATCCCTAGGCTAAATTACGGATCTCATAATTAGTCGGATATACTCCGACTCGATGCCCGCGATGTTTCTTCTTGGTTTGTCTTGAAGATCTCCGGTGTGGAACGAGGGGTAGGTAACAATTCACTGAGAACGGGCCATCGGTTGTCTTCCCCACATACTCCGGTGACAGGCCCGGGACTATACGTTGACATAACACCAATGCCAGCGAATAACACACCCGTACAGATTCCAATTGTCGAAGAATAAATGATAAAGTGCTTAATAGGAGCTTCTAGATTATTGTATCATTGCAGAACTTAGTAACAACTCGTATTTCGAATTTCAACTCGAATTGGAAAGCGGGGAACATCGCTAAGGAAGGATGGCAACCTGTTCAAGACACCCACGGCGGAGAAGCAGGGAAAGAAAAAAGTGAGCGCCTAGAATAACATGCACTACAGGCAGTGGTTGACATGGCTATTTGCCGAAGAAGACCCTGGAAAAGCTTCCCCGCAAAATCTGACAACCCTGGCGGCAATTGGACCCTTAGGAACCGGCGCGTCTGCGGGTATTTTCAAGGTAGTTATTCTCCGTTCTTTCAAACCGAGACATGATTCAAGGTGGCGGAGATTGTCTGAAAGCTTCTAGAATACCGTCCAAATCTTGTCTGAATTTGGTGATAAATTGAAAAGCTCGGGCTAGCAAGTGATCTTTACAGGTAAGCAGTAAGCAATGAGCGGCATCTAGAAGTGCCGACGACACTATACCCCTGCTTGTGCCCCGCCTAAACTATGGAGAATACTGAATCATGAAAAGTCAATCGATTCCATTAGGCTAATAGAAGTAAACCTAAATGGAAAGATCGTCCATTGCGATCATAAGTTATGCATGCTCACCTTTAGCCTGAATCTCAATGTTACAATGCTTGTCTTAGAACTAACGGCTAAAAGTTTGTGCAGCGAAGGATCAGGGCTTCAATGACGTTGAAATTTCTCAACACGGACGTTTCCCTGATTTCAATTGAAAGGGAACCTGGAGTCCCGGCGCACATATCAAAACAATATAAATACTACGGCGAAGATTTGGACGAGATGCTTGAAGCCCAAGAGGAAAGAGCCCAATTGGGATAGCTGCAGTCTAGGAGCTTTCTCACTGATATACCCGAATTAGAAATATGCTCACCAAGCTTTTGCTCCTCTGTCTGGCCGGCCTCAGTTGTGTGGAATCGGTCAGGCCTCCGTTGAAGCCACCACCACCACCACCACCTCCCCCTCCTCCAAAAAACCCACCAACACCGCCACCACGGCCGTGGTCCACTTTTGCAGAGAATGTCATCTACCAACCTGACTCCAAGAACTCTGTTCTATATCCCCGGCAAGTCGAACTATCGGATGGAAATCTCCTTGCGACAGCTTCGTTTGCGGGCGATAAAACTCCATACTTCCCCGTATTCCAAAGTGCAGATGGTGGTGCTACCTGGTCCTGGATCTCCAACTTGACTGACCAGGTGAATGGATTGGGAATGTCAGCCCAGCCTGCGCTGGCAGAGTTACCATTTGCTGTTGGCGATTTTCCTGTAGGCACAGTTTTGGCCAGTGGAAACAGCTGGGGAAGCAGGAGCACGAACATTGATATCTATGCTAGTAAAGATAAGGGTCATACCTGGAAGTTCTCAGTAACGTGGCGAGAGGCAGTGGGCCGGATACTACCAATGGAAATCCATGCATTTGGGAGCCATTTATCGAGTGAGTTGTGCTCCGCCCATACTAATCTTTGTTCCAGGCACTGAACGCGGGAATTCTAGATTTTTCAACCACACTATCGGCGTGTTCTACTCCGATCAGCGTGACCCCCTGCACGGTCAGAAGCTTGCTCACCAGGAATCGGCGGACTTGAAATCCTGGGGACCCGTGATAGATGATGTGGCCTATCTCAACTATACAGCTCGTCCTGGAATGACCATCATCTCCTATATCCCTCCTCTGGAGAAGTGGATATTGGTGCACGAGTTCCCAGGAGGAGACAGCTGGTCTGGGGTGGGCTATCCGGTTTACTACCGAATAGCTAACAGTCCTTTTGATTTCCGCTTTGCCTATGGTATCCCCATCATGGTTGATGGAGTCCAGCCCAACGCATCTCCTTATGTGGTTTGGTCGCCATCCGGCGGTGATAATGGAACTATCGTCGTTAGCGACGCTGATCACAGTGGTGTTTTCACCAATCAAGCCGGTGGCCAGCCTGATCAGTGGGAATTGCATGACACACCTCAGGCACCGGCATACAGCCGGAGTTTACATGTCTTTGAGAAGTACCCCGATCATTTGATGATCCTAGGTGCAGGCGTATTTGATGCAACGGTAAATCTACCGCTTTATCTCAGCGTTGTGAGCGTAGAAGATACCTTGAAGAAGCCACCCGGGAGATAGAGAAACTTTGCTGGTCAGAATGATCAAGCTGGCCGAGAGTGACTGAGCCTTGAATAGCATAAGGAGGGATGGAAACTTGAGATAGTAAGAATCAAAGTTCCAAGAGATATCCTAGCACTAAGCAGATTTCACTGCCCGTAATCCCTTTTCTCTAAAAATATAACAAAGCATGCGCAACAATTGAAGCAGTCCCTTTCTTCTTAATTGGAGTTCTGTTAGCCAAAAATTGGATATGCGGGCCTTGTTTGAGGATGTGCTGTCAATTAGTACCGAAACGCCAAATACCACACGGAAGGTACCATGACATGGTCTGAAAGCCCCTTCCCCTGACTAGACGTGAACCAACCACGCGTCCCACCGCCAAAAACCTCTGAAAGAAGCCTCCGATTCAAAATATAACTGGCCGTGTAATTAGCTACATGTTAACGCTACTACTGGCTTACTGAGCGTTTCCTTCCCTCCCGTGGAGAATTTCAATTACTCCAGAATGCATACCCATATCGGCTCGGATAAAACCTCAATTTTCGGGTCGGAGACTTGGTGTGTCTAGATTGAGACTGGCATCTCCAGACTGAGCATGGCCGTCAGCAAATAGCGCGGCCAACGGAATCTGCTCCTCGTAATCGGGGATCCAGTACTGCGCTCGATGGTCTATTTGGCTGGAAATCGGCGATGCAACTCTTCGGGATCCTGATCGTAGCACCGGTGGTCATGCATCAGTGCGGCTTGCGAATGCCGTCGACGCTCCTCAGTTCGTTGCTCTTCCTGGGCTTGGGCCATTCCAACCTGGTTCATTACGGCTCTAGCCACAGGAAAGAGCTGGGGTCCCAGGGAGGGGGTTTGAAAAGGATCAAAGTGTGGGTGGACATGTATTGATCGAATGCCCGCCACTCCCTCTTTATTGCCAGTGGGATTCTCATGGACCGAGCGAAGACGAAAACTCAGGTGAGGAAGGTGGGCAAGGACAGAAGAAGGAGTATCGTGAATTCTCCGGTGATATTCGTCCGAAACAATCTCGTTTATTTCTTGCAGCAAGATGTTTAAAGTATGTGGTGGTTCGCTAAAGGGAGCCACGCTTAGGGGAAAAAGTCCAGTTCAGTACCCGTCAAAATTCTGATTGCATTCGCAAAAAAAGAATCTCGTCCATTTCTTGCAGCAAGAGATTTAGAGCCTGTGGTGGACCACCAAGAGGAGTCATCATGATGATTAGGCGAGAAGGTAGAAATAGTATGACAAGAATGGAGGAAGAAAAAGAACTTGAAGAATTTTGGTGTTGTTGTTTGTCTTGCCTTCCATTTTCTATACTTCGGGAACTGCGTTTTCCAGATCGGCTTGTTGGTAAGTGCCCAGGTGGTGATTGGGAAAACGATCGATACTAATAGTTCGGGAATGGAATATTGTCGTCAATGATATTGTAATAAGATATATTCGATTACGGGGATGGTGATGGATTCATAACCTTATTGTAGCTAGCTAAGTGTTTGTTCTATGGTGAACCTGGTGAGAGATATTGACGGCATCCATAATTACTTGATGGCTTTCCCGGTTGAGTGCAAGGAAATATGGTGCTGATTCAAGTTGGCTGGATATTGTAAAGTTGATGTTGTTCACAACTGGCATCACACCTGTATTCAACTTCACGCTTGACGGCATAGGAATTGTTTGGAATATGAAAAGCCGTCTGTGATGGGAAATACTGCAAGACGAGTAAATATTACCATCCATACTGTACCACTGTATAGGGCAGAGCTAGCTAGACCTTGTAGCCTTTTCCAGCCACTGAAAATGCCCCAGATACATTCGCTGTATCACCGAATATTATATTCAGCGTTTATCGAACCCGGTATGCAGATTGTGATCCGCATGTATGACGTCCTGCAGAAGATAGGCGCGCGCCAGTTCGGTCTCGCTGAGTATGACCTTCAGCGCTCAAATCAAAGTAAAGAGCCTATTTTATTCATCCATGCGGTCTGTAGAAGATAGGCCAGAATGAGCCATAAGATAGGCGTGTCGTCCTCCCGTTCGCGCATGGTAAAGGCCAACGATTATCATTTCGAAGTCCTTATCCAAGACCGTACGAGACCCTCGCAGCCCTATCGCCCATAGCCGGGTTATTCGCGGTCTGATTTGATCTTGACAGTGCAGAGATATCGGTTCAAGATCTCGCAGCCGTGAAGCCTTTCCGTGTGGCACTTCGTCGAGATAGATTCTAGTTTAGATCTGCTTCATGCTGGCTGGCCAAAACTTTCTGATTCGTAGTAATCGGCTCTGTGTGCCCTGTGTGCCCTAGAAAGGGTGAAGTGTTTCTGGATAGCACTTACGTCCACAGTGAAGCTCGCGAAACCCGGTGACTCGATGCTGCGATTAAAGGAGAGCGTTGTATAGGAGGACAGGCCGGTCATGAAGAATCTTGCCTGCGGCAGGCATTTCCAACACACCAGCTTTTGAAATGTCGACTTCCAACAATCACCTTCATATAGTACTGGAATGTGTTCAGCGAGTTTGCACGATCGCAGCTGGTGTCATAGTCTCCAGGCGAGACGGAAGGGAAGACAGGCTCCCAGTCGTAACGCATCTCAGTCCACATTTGCTTTATCTGAGCCAGAGATTTCGGGACGGAGATTTGGCTACTGCATGCCAGTCTCGGCCCGAGTAAAGTGTGTCTGAGGTAGAGTGTATACACGATCGTGGGCCACGCGTGAGTTGACAAGTCTAGCCAGCCGTGGAGGCGCATTTCACAAACAACTTGAACTTAAATCAAGCCCTGGAGTCAGAATAGGCTACCACCACCTGGGTACTCTCGCCGTTTATGTAATTCGAGTTGCTTGCCAGTGCCATTACTGTCCCGGTATACAACTGGAAGTCGAAGCCCCGGGTAGTAGGATTAAATGTGTATGAAGAGTCATATTCGACCACGGTGGTATGTAGTAACTGTACAAAATAACGACAGATATATCATCTATGGTCGCTAAACGCAAACGCAAAAGTAAACCCAGATCCGTTGGCAGCCTCACAGGCAACCTGGGGATAAACTAAATCCCTGAAAAAGAAAGAAAGAAAGATTGGACCAGACATGAACAAACATCTCTAACCGGAAGCGCATGCATATTTTCATACCATGCACACAACATATAAGCGTCCCAGTACTTTACAGTTTGGCCTTCTCGGCCTGGGTGGCCAGGTCGGGCATGAGGAGGTCACGCATTTCTGTGGCGGCCTCGTTGAGGAAGTAGCTCATGCGGTGGGCGCCGAGGCGCTTGCAGACGATGTTGAAGTTGAGGCTGGGAAAAGAAGGTTAGCATTAATATTCATATTCAGTTGCGTTTGCGTCTGCGTTTGCAGAGGCCGAGTAACGGAATCTCACCTGTTCTCGTTGATCATATATGCAATTCCGAATCCATCATCAATAACCTGGCTCCATCCGTATCCGTTGAAGTACTCAGAGCTGAGCTGAGAGCTGGAGATGTACCAAGAACCGGAGTAAGAGAAGGCAGGGTCCTCGTACAGGGCGGGCAACTTCTCGCCAGGCTGGAGGAGCTTCTTCAGGCCGAAGAGGTGGCGGTCGACACCACGGCCGTCACTCGCGTCCATGGTGTACTTGGTGTGCTGCGCCAGAGCGGCGCGGAACAGCTTAACAACTTCCTCGCGAGGGGTGTTGGTGTCATGGTGGGCCTTGCAGAAGGCGGTGCTCTCGTCGGAGACGGTACGGGTGGTCTCTGTGCGGCCCTCTTGGAACTTACGGGTCGAGGCGGACTCGTAGGTGGGGCGGTTCTTGCCGTACATCTTGAAGTAGGCCAGTTGGATGAGCATCTGGACGTAGGCGTCGGGGCTGCACTTGAACTTTTTGATGAGGCCCTTTCCGTAGCCTTGGTAGGCCTGGACAACGAGCTCGTGCGAGGCGATTTGCTTGCGGTGGTATTGGGCGGCGATGTCGATGGCTTCGTTTGCCTCATCGTTGAGGTGGAATGTGATAGCCTTGGGGTGAGGGAGCTCGGCGCGGACCGACTTGGCGGAGAGGTCGATCTTCTTGTTGAAGATCAGGTTGTTGACGTGGTCGTTCAGACGGTGGGTGGGGGTTCCGTCCATCATGGAGTGCTCTCCCATGAAACCGGCAGTGCCGTTGTCGTTGACGATAAACTGCAGGGGCTTGTCAAACCAGCGGTTGGCACCATCTCCGTGCCAGTACTGGTGAGCGCGCTCCTCCAGAGTGACGGGCTTGGCGTCATCCAGGCAGATGACGAAGCCGCTGGCCTCGATATCCTTGAGAGCCTGCTCGTTGGCAGGGTCGGCAGCAACAAGCTTCTTGCGGGCAGCAGTCCAGTGGTCACGATCAGCCACAGTCAGGACACCGACCGGCGGGGCGGGCTGGGCGACATCAATGATGCGCTGGAATTGCTGCTCCAGCTCGGAGACGTTCAGGGCCTGGCCGTTGACGACAAGAGGCACCTTGAAGAACTGGTTCTTGCGAGCAACAATGATGTGCTGGTTCTCGGCGGCGGAATACTTGCGGGGGAAGTCCTCGGGGTCGGCGGGGATACGGCAGCAGTTGAACATGTACTCATACGAGCTCATTGCCATGGGCTGGCCGCGCATGTACTCAGGCTCGAGCGAGCCAGCGTCAACCTCCGCCTTGAATTCCAAGGCAGCGGTGGCAATGGCAGCAGCACGCTTGGCGGGGTTGCGACGCTCCCGATCATCCTTGTAGGAGTAAAAGTAGGAAACGTAAGGGATGACAGGGTCCCGGTAGCCCAGGTAGGCGGCTTGGTTCCACCACTCGGCAATCCAGTTCTTGACCTTGGGATCGGCGGCGCGCTCGAGCAGACGCTTCTGCAGAGGCTCGCCCTCACCGCCGGGACGGATGAAGGCCTCGACGGCACTCTTTGTGCGCTCGAACTCGGAAGAGGAGACGAGCGGGTGAACCGACTTCAGGTAGCGGCGGCCAGTCTCTTCGAGCGAGGGGACCGGGAGGTGGGGCAGAGAGTCCTCAAATCGGAGCATCTTGCCCTTGGAGATATCCTCCTTGTATCCTGATTAGAAGCCAGTCAGTCGTTATTCCGATCACACGGGGCGTGTAAATCCAATCATCTCCTTGCGGTAGGTCTAAACGGATTGCGGAGTTGCCCCGCGGAGACATGTGATACCACTCACCCTCAGGAACGGAGGAAGCCTGTCGTCGAGGAGCCATGGCGGGAGTCTATGCGAATGTCAGTTTCCAATTGCTAACAGGAGACAATATGCAGCATAGGATCATCAAGACAAATGCTGTTCGCTTGCAGATATCGGAGGTGGCCGACTTACCGAGCGGGAGAGTAGTGATGTCGGAGGGAGCCGGGGCCTTGACAGGGTGGAGAGACGGCTTCGCGCAGCAGCAGCGAACATCCCTCTCAGAAATGAAGATAAAAGAGGTTGGGTATAAGAAGGGAGGAGAAGGAAGGAAAGGGGAGAATAAGTGTAGAGGGGAAAGTTAAGCAAATAAGAGAGTGAAGACAAGGAGCTACAAATGCCTCGGCTGTCTCGAGGCCGAAGAGCGGCGGTCTAAGGCGGTCAGGTCTGGTCACGTACGGTCACAGTTAAACCGAGTCGGTCCCGTCCGGCCTGCACTTTCACTCGGCCCGGCGGCATGACTTCCCGTGGAAAACGGTAAAAGACGGTAATTACCATTACCTACCAGTAGCACACAGGCGGGCGTATCGGTCATTTGGGCCTCGGTTGAAATGGAGAAATACTGGGGATTTTATTCAGTGCACACATGGGTAGATCACCGAAGATCTGCCGAGAAAATTGGCATAGGTGAG